TGAATATGTGTTCATTGGAAACCAGCCTATGTGACATAATTGGTTGAAACTTAAAGTTGAACAGGTTTGAAGAATATGATATATTTTATGACCTCAAAATAGTGACTAAGATAATTGGTTTAATATCAGGCTTAACAATTTATAAATGTATACTATGCCAGCAACTCAAGCTCAATCCTCGCAGTCATCACGGAAATTGTTCATGAATACAATTTTAAATACCAACCAGTAACAGGTTGTAGGTAGTACAAAATACGTGAGGATATGTTTGAGGAAAACCGTACCCATACTCGATAAGGAAATAAAACATCTATACCTAATATTTTTCACCTTAAAATTCAGGCCATTATCAAAAACATAAACTTCTAAATGTTTATCTATTTAAAGGGGAATGAAAGTGAACGTAAGTAAGACGATAGTTATGATTTTTGAAAGAAAAGAAAGTAAAACGATATGCGAAATAAGAATAGAAAGGGAGTTGGTCGAGTAAGTATATGAGTTTGTATATTTCGGATGCGTATTTAGCAGGGATGGGAGATATGATAAGGATAGAATAATAATAATATAAAATAAAAAATAATAGATAGTAGAATATATAGAAAGACGAGTGAACACTGAAAGTTTTGCACTCCTGTTCAATCGTAAATATTGTAATTCCGAATGTTTATAAAAATAATTTCATCTTTAGGATCATTAGTCAAATAATTTTTATGATTAATAAATTCAATGCGAAAATATTTTATAGCGATATTTTTTTTACGATTTTCAAAGTTGACTTCCATTGCAAATGCCGCGTTCGCCTTCCAAATGCCTGTCAAATTAAAGCACCACATTTGAGCACTATCAGTCGTTGGTACGCCGAATTTAATCACGGTCACGGTTTACTCTATGATAAGATACGTGAAGTTCGTTCATTAATTGCTATTACTTTGGATAACGTGGTAACTCAGGCTACTTAATGTAAAAAATCACCGTATCACATATTACGACGAAATGAATTCAAAATTATCGTAGAAATTCATGACTATTTTGCAAGGTAACCTATTAATAATATTATTATTATTTTCATTCCTTTTTATTACTTTATTTCTTTTCTTGTATTAAAGTACATGGGGTTTGATTTTATGTAGTATACGCTATTAATAAAGGTTAAATCCATAGCTCCAAAGCTATAACTAGTATGATACGATACGCCCCAGTCAAGAAAATGTTAGTCTTTTGATTCAAATCAATATTTAAACAGTTAAGACCATTATTGACCATAAAAAATGACATAAGCACATGTATGGAACCAAGTTTACATTAAATAAATGTTTCTTGTCGGTTCATATTAAGCATATCTAAATAAATATTTTTATCCATCTTACATAGTTATTCCTATCAAAGACGTGATAAACATAGTATTAGAATTCATGTTTTACAAGACTTTATCTTTACCGGTAAGGTAACTTTATCGATTTTTTGTAGTAGCTCCTAATCCTTGACCTGAGTAATGAGTATATAATATTAATTTTGCAAAAAAGACTAGATAATCAAATTATTCTGTTGAATTAAATTATTTTAGATTACAACAAATGGTAAATGTATTCACCAGACCATTATACGTGGTAGAGCCATGCTGCAGCTATATTAGTAGTATAGTTGTAGCACGAATGGATCGGCACGACCGCGGAAGGACCCCGCTCTCACAAAATACCAGCGTAAATAGCAGCTTAACGCTTTGTTTCGTTCGGTGAGTGTAAAGAACTGGAGACCTTTCTGCTGGAAACGGGGCATTGCAGCTTAGTCCTCACGGGTGACAACAAATCCGATATTTAATTCGTATCTGAGGATAGATGTAGATGTCTATGGGCCACAGCAACCGCTTACCATCAGGTGGACTGTGTGCTTGTTTGTCATCCTATCCTATAAAAAAAGATGAAAGACTCTAGTAAACTTTTAGAATATCTTTCCTAAATTTGATCAAACTAAAAAATGGACTAAGTAGGAAATGGATGAGATTTAAAGCAGGCGAGATAGGAAGTAAACCAGTTAGGATGTAGACTAGGTAGGCAATGGACGAATTGGGTAGTGAAAAACATAAAAGTGGACGAATCAATCCGCTAAACCGCGAGCTACGAATATATTCCGACATATTGAGACTTTGTAATTGTTTGGTAGAAATAATCGCAAATAAAAAAAATCTTGTTCCTTGCCAAATAAGCTAAAATAATTACGAACACTTAAGGAATCGGTCTCCGTTTCTTTTTCATTCTATTTTAAATTTTTTCCAATACTGCGAAATTACTGCCCATTATAAAATAATTAATGGAATCAGGCGTTACTTTGCGAAAATCCATTTATACTACTTTACCTGAGGATGCCTCGTGTAGAGGAGAAACACGTGTCGTATTATCGACAGTGGTGTGTCGTTTCTAGTGTTGTGGTGTTGGTAGTGGTGGTGACGAGGATAGTGCACGCAATTGAGGAATGGTGGGAGATATTCTGCAGACTAATCAGGACACATTATTTTATTTTATTACGCGGAAATCGAGCAAATTAAGTTCTAACAACTTCCCATAATATAATAAATTTTATAGGTACTTCAGGAAAATCTAAAAATGAAGTATCTAAAGATGTTTTTCAAAATAATTAGACGAATAACACAATTACTTGGTTTGAACAATCTGAAATTTTTGTGTAGCTATTTTGTAGTGTAACAGTCTTTTTTTTTAAATTAAAGCCTATCGAATTACTTCAAATGGAATACAGGTGCAGTTTCGATTCGTTTCTTCATTGCTGCTGATTCGGAGCGACGGCACCTAACAAACGTGGACAAAAGGCTACTTCCTCTGGTTCATCCACTCATCCATCCATAACAGCCTATAAAAGACTACTGAAAACTACTGCTGAACATAAGCCTACCCCAATTATTTTCTCTTTTGCCATAGTTGCCACACTTGGGAGGTGTCATCAGGAAGATACTGCAGCCCTCCTCCTGTTTCAGTTTCCCTCTGTCACCTCTAACGAGATCCCCGGGATGATATGGGGTGGTGGATATTCTCACACCGCTATTGCACGATTACTACTCAGGTTTATAATGAGGAGATGCGAGTGGCAGTGGAAGACGGTCCATCTGAAATCACTACATAATAAAAAGCATGGCTTGAATATAGCATTTCCACAATATTGAATCATTTGTAACGATGCATTTATAACAAAAAAATAAATAAATGGGGGTAGCTCACGAATTTATTATTAAAGAAGCACGAGTCAAAGCTTGCAACTTATTGATGAATCGACATGAAACGATGGGATTCTGAGCGGAATAACCACCTGAAATCTGTTTTTTCTCGTATAGTAAAAAATAAGCAAAACCATAGATATAAAATGAATCTAAGTCCAATATTTTATAAAGAATTCTCTTGAGTACTGCTAAAGCTTCCTATAGTATATCGATTGCTATTAATGATGAAGATATTGGCAGAAAAACAGCCATGTCCCATGAAACGAACATCAACACTATTGCTTCTCGATAACTCAGAACCACATTTTCCTGGCCAATAAACCATATCAATTCACTACTCGCGGTATAAACTACCTCTTTTTGGAATTCTTTTTGAAAACATTCCTGCACCCAGGCAACTTATATATAACCGGAAAAATATATAACTTATATATTTTTCCGGACTGCATTTATAGAATCAGAAGAAATTATACACAATGTCTTTTTAAAGACAATTAAAAAAATTAAGAACAGAAATAATTAACTTTGAATGAAAACTTTTAATTTAAATAAAACTTATTTTATGCTTTATAGAATGACTAAATCAACACATGTTCGAAAAAACAAGACCTCACAGAGAAGAACCGACGAAAAAATGCTCAGGTGTTTTTCCTATATAACAAATTCATTTATCTACAACATTTGAATATATATATATATACATTATAAAATATCAGTTTCACAATATATCAGTAATCAGGGAACTTGCAATTGCAGAGGTATTTCCACAAATCGTTGTCCTTAATATATAGTCAATATATTATCTTTCTGTCTGTTACATATAAAATACCTACTTTGATCTGCGCTTGTTATGGTAGAACAGCAATCCATTTATATATACATATATTTATAATAAAATACTTTTATTCTACATTAAACAACTCCATTAAAGGTTTTTCTATGGCCAAAATAAAAATTAATAATCCGATAGGGGGAAATATCTCTACCATACACTTAGTACCTACATTTCACAGAATCGGAAGTTGTAATGCAAAAATGATCCAAGACAATCCAATGATCTCATAAATAGATTCTATTGAAATATTGAAGTTTAAAGATAGAGCCAGTATTTTTTATAAAGTAAGGATGACATGTGATCATGTGGACTGTGTGCTCGTTTGTCACCCTATCCTATAAAAAAATGACGAACAAATGCACAGTCAAACACATGATAAGTGGATGTTGTTGCCCGTTCACATCTACATAAATGAAGATGCAGATGCGTTGAGGAATCACTCCATCCCCTGAGGAATCACCTTGTATCCAGTATCCTGTATCCAGGAAATACCCTGTATCCAGCAAAAAGGGTCTTCGGTTCTTTATTCACCTTAGCATTACCTGCTATTTTACGCTGGTAATTTGTAAGAGCGATCGAGTCAACCCATTCGTGCTACATAATAGAGGAGCAGCTTGGATTTACCACGTTGTTTACAGTGTCAGTCGCTGCCTTCGATTTGTTTTTAATATGCGGCTTGTTCGAATTTGAAAGCAATTGTGAAAGTATTGTATAATTGGCTCCTAGGGTTATTTTCGGGTATATATTATATTAATTGTCTTTAACCAGAGTTTGGATTGAATGCTTTTTGCATAACTACGTTCAATTATAACTTAATAACAAGCTTTAACTGTTATGTGATATAAATAATATGTGATGTAAATAAATTTTAAGGAAACGGATGAAATAAAGAGTTAATGATATGTGTGTGACATTGATAAATGCTTTTGGTAACATTGATTATAAATTTTTGTTTGTCAACTTTATTTTGGAATCGATTAAACTTACGGTTTTATCCAACAGCCAGCTGGCGGGAAATATCAGCGGCACGTACGTGATCATGTACACTATGGAAGTCCAGGACACTACCGTACTTGGCACACCATAGTATCTTACCACTATATCTTGTATAATGGTGTACTGCGTCCACTGCAGCGAGTTTGACGCAGAGTAAAGCACAAACACAGCCAGCATCACCCATCTGGACTTGTATACTTTATAGTTCATTAAAATCTTGTCCGGTGATAAGCCGCCAATCACACTTCCAGCAAGTTTTGATTTTTGAACGGAGCCCTCGTATGGGGAAAGCCAAGTGGGTTCCACCATTTTAATTTCCGCTACTTACAACTTTATATTTAATAAGAATTAGAAACGACGTACAAACATAGTAACTCAATTCACTCCCATTAATGAATTAGAATAAACAATACAATAACACTACGTGTTCCAATTGCCAAGTCACACTGTTTCTAACGCCAGTCTGTTCATTCCATTCAATGATAATTTGATTGTTTTTATCCATTACGACTGACAAAACGATATTGATAAAAATGTAGTTACCATATCGGCGCCGATACGAGTGTTTGTATCTTAAAACTAATCTTTTTGAACATTTACAAGTGCTATGACAAGGACTTATTTCGAGTTCATGGTCGGTTAAATTTGCAAGAAAACTATTCTTTGAAACCTATCACCTCCGTAACCCATAGGCCAATTTACATAATTTTTTCAGCAATATTTGTAGCTCAACGCAATTCAACACGACAAGGTTTGTAAACAATAATATTCTGAATTTGGATTTTTTTTTCTATACTATCTAATCAATTCCCTAATTTACATCTGCGCAATGTCACATCATTTGATTGAATCTTTTGTTGAAATAAAGATAGTTTATGACTTTAGATTAGACTTTTACTCCGCTTCGTTCCAATAAATCCGTCGAAATCAGTCACATGAAACCTTTTTTTTACAGGCACACGGTTATTTTTTTTCTGTCAAGAAATTCTCAGTAGCTAACCGAAATCAGGAAGTTTACGGTGTTTCACCACCGTGCCTCAGAAAGCTCGTCAAGCCGTTGTACCTGCGTTGCGCCTGATCTATCTCCGGTTAAAAATTTTCGTACGAAAATTAAATTTAAAAAAATGATTAAACTAGTTCTCACAGGTAAGAAGTATGAAACATCGTTTTTATCATACGTGTGATTAAAATGATCACCATGAAAAAAATCTTGTGAAAATATTAAAAAGTAAAAAAAACTGTAAAAAATATTTTGTGTTGACTTGCTAAATAAAAAGTATTTTATTATAAACAAACAATAAAAAATATTTTGTTATATCCACAAATGCCACAAACAAGTGCAAATAACGAGAATAGTCAATTTATTTTTTTCCGTCGGTCAACATTTTTTTATTTACTTGTATTATTTAATAGTTAACAGATATAATTTCATATCTGTTAACTATTCAATCGACTAACGACTAACTCAATATCGACAGCTATCGGCAACATGGAAACCTCAGTAGCTATTAAAAATTAAAAAAAATATTTAAAAAATATTTCTAATAAAATCATAAAGTACTTGTAAACTAATGTAGAATACTTATATAGTATTTCCTTGAAGAACTTAAAAAATATCATAATTTGAACTTTCATATTGAGTAATCCAATTAATATTAAATTATCGAAGTGCAAAATTTGGGTGTTATTTTATATACCTAATAGTCATTAACATTTTTTTACTATTATACTGATATATAAAGAGCTATCTGAATAGCTCTAACTTCTCAGAATGTAAAACAATTAAAACGGTTTACTAAAACCACGAATTTATCTGAACCATTTTTGAGATGGAACACGCCGTTTCGTACCGTAGTGGGTCGTGTTGGTTTACCATCCCATCGGACCATGAGAGTGGGGGAACAGAGAGTGCACCTGTCTTTGCACACACACTCGTCCATGATCTCGTCATGCGCAGATAGCTAGCCATCGTTGAGGCTGGCCGCTATGACTGATTTTCGGCCTAGAGGAATTTATTTACGGACAACAACTTTCGCCTCGCAATTGCAGGTATAGGTCAAACGCCATTTTTCGTTTTGAAAATAATACGATAACCATTTAGGCCAGCAATGGCGAAACCTATGACCCGCGGGGCAGACACTAAACCTTGGCCTTGCAAGTCACTTACGTGTTGATTTTTATAAGCTATAAAAATCATCACCACATTTTTACTGTTTATGCATGCATATACAGTAAAAATAAGTGTCTTGTTCATACAAATACTCATTCGCCTCTGCGAATACCAACTGCGGATGTGTGCGAAAGCGTTCCCGTGGCCCTGCCAATATACGGCAAAGATGCAAGGGATATTAGTCGGTGCGAGTCCGACACAACCCGTCCCTACCCCTGCGAAGCAGGTTTGCGTAGGCATTTCATCGAGTAAAAAATGACTGCCGACATTGCACTGCATTTAATAAATTTATTGACCACTCCCAACAAGCTTTCAGCTCACCTGAACTGTCTCGTGGCGGCTCAGGCCGAGCCTACTTAACTCATCTCATAATCTACCCTAGTTAGGCACACTTCTAAGCGCCCTCCTTTCAGCCAAGGAGGGTCGCGTCCGTTTACGGCTTAAAGATCTCTCGTCAGATCATTAAGCCAATCCCAAAAGGTGGTGTTTAGTGAGTAAAAGTCTTCACATAACGCAGCCGCCTACGTGGTATGCTATGAGCGTTCACCACCTCCCTCCCCGTTACCGGAGGGTTGCCCTTAATTATTTCGGGCGCAAAAAAAAGTCTACTTTTATATTAGCTTTTCAAATGAAAAAGAATAAGTAAAACAACAATAAGGAAACTTGATAATTTTAGAGGATTTTAAAAGTGACAACCAAAATAGTTTTTAACCACCCTTACCTCTCCCTTTCCGAGTAACGCCACTGACTTGGTGACCCAAGAACTACTAGGAAAAAATAAACAAAATTTGGCCTACTCTTCAAACGTACCTAACGTTATAATTGACCTAGGCAAAGGTCATATGGGAAAACCGTTACAATCGTCATAATACAGATGTTAATAAACTCTTAAACTATACACAAATAATGCAGAAAACTCTGAAGTAGCTAATTTACTAATTATGAAACCGAACCAAATTAAATCAGCTACGGAAAAATTCAACTGCAAAAATGCTTCGTTTTAGAATAATCGCATGTAGGTACTTCAAATGAAAACACAACTAATTTCGAGTATTACAGAACTGAAAATGTGTGAACTTTACACCCACTATCATATCATCCCGTGGGTGTCGTAAGAGGCGACGGAGCGTAGGTTATACAGGAGAGGGCTCACGAACTTGTTGAACACAAGACTGTGAGAACTTCGATTATTATAAGCTTTTTTTACATTTACATTTAACAGTGGTTAAAGTAGTTGCCGTTTTAAAGAAATGGCCCCTTCTTTTTTTAAATTATATTTTTTTTTCTTTTTTGAATTTGAATTACAATTAATTCAATAGTTCCTCTTGTTCCAAGATTAGAGCCATAAAAACATTTTATACAAAAACTATATAGTATTCTAAATTTAATTAAAATAATCAGACAATCGAACGCACTGTACGTTTTTGGTTAAATCTCTTCCGTAGTGGAATCTTTGACTTGGAAAATACTAAGGTAAACAATCTGAAATGCTGTTCAAGCTTGAAACGCTCGAAAATCTTCTAATTGGTTGATTTTTTTATTGTTTTTTTTATCCAATTGGTTGATTTGATTCTTTGAGGTCAAAAATTCAAAACATATCAATCAAACGAATATTTAGAAATTTTTAAATGGCTATAACATTTGAACGTCTTGTTTGATTTTGATTTACTTGGCGTCATTTGACACAGATTTTAAGTGCAAAAAATTATTTCTCCGGACTTGAGTCAATAGATCGAAGAATTTAAAAGTTATCTCAAAAAATGATTATTTAGAAAAATTTTAAATAGCTATAATTTTTGAACGCATCGTCCGATTTCGACACACACTCACACACAGGGCCGGATGTCCAGCCGGAAATAGTCCCAACGGCTTCCTGGGTCCCCAAAAAGTGATGATCTGATGAAAATTCGCATTCACAAAATTAACGACCTATAACTTTGAGGGGTTAAAAATTATGAATTAAAATTAATTGTCAAACCGATTTTTATCAAACATCCAAGGAATGTTCATTCCCCCACAGTTATGTCCTACAGGCTGAATTCCAGTCCCAGCAGCCGGTATCAACGGAGACTAGCCAACTGCACAGAACTGGATTATAATGTTCAAGGGTATACGCAAGCACAGGTGCACTCTCTATTTCCTCACTCTCATAGTCCGATGGGACGGTAATCCGATAAAACTGGAGAGAGATCAAGCGGAAGACTAACTGCTTTACGATATTTCGAAGAAAAGGGGTTGAAACACCGCCCACTGCCTGATTCCGGGCTGCTACTAAGAAGTTTTTGACTAAAAAACTCAATAACAGATTTTGGGCCGGTCAGGGACTCCAATTTCAAAGAGTAATAATATATAATAATAACCATCTGAGGCGGCTGAGACTCCGTGACGGACCGCTCCGGAGGCGGTGCTCCTCGATACCGCCCGCATCATCCGCCGGTTTCTTTCCCTTTCCCCCTAACCCTCGGCCGTTTGGTCTCCCCTGCCGAGGGCCTCCATCTGGTGGGACTTTTATTTATTTATGTATTATTTATTTATTTATGTTAGAATATTAAATATATATTTATGTTTATTTATCATTTCCTTTTATATATTTATTCAGCCCAACCAGATGAGAATACTCTATTAATACCCCAAAATAATAATAATAATAGTTAAGTAGCGTGTTTGTTGCACTGCACATAAAGTTATTCATATGGAGCTATTAAATTTTCGCATTTATCATAGTCACATTCTTTAAGTCACTTATATAACATACTTTTAAATGTATGATTTGAAGCCTTTCTTGTGCACAATGTTTTATTTAGTATATTATATAACTTGGGAGCTACCTAATTATAATTCCTTTTGCCGAATATGGATTTTATTTTGGAGATACTTATACGTACAGTTCTTTCTGAATTTTGTGTTTGCGGAACACTACATCTATGAAAGCGTCTATGACATTGATATATGAATAATTTGCGAACACTTAGTATGTACTTCAGTTAACTTATATACCATTTCTGTCGAATCTCTGTAAGGAAGCGAAACTTTTACTACAGCCCTATGAGCTCACTCTAATGTTATAAGATGTGTTTCCACGAACGGTTGTCATGGTGATTAGCTGTCGCAAGTGTTTGATAATTTTTTTTCAAAAAATTTAATTTTTCAGGGTTTTATTCGTGTGAATCGCTGTTTTTTATTCTTCTTTTAAACTAATTTCTGTCCCATGGAAGAGGGTAATGAGGAAGACAATGTTAACATTGAGAATAGTGACCAAAGTGATTGTAAAGATGTAAGCGATTGTGAAAATTAGTGTGAAAATTCCAAATTTCTAGAGAAAAATAAGATGGAAACCCAACATAAAATTAGGTCAGCGGAAAATAGAAAAAAAAACGGAGAACAGTGGAGAAGATAACAGTGAAGAGAGTTTAACAACAGTTACACGGAGAAAACCAAAATGTCGTATTAGGAGTGATTTAACAAAAAGTGCCGACAATAATCAACTCATTGACGCATTAGAAATGCACGCCGTTAGAAATGCAACGCTTAGAAGAATATTTTGAAGTTTGTATTACATCTTTGCAATGCCTTCCTAAACAAATAGGTTTGGCCAAACTACTTAAGTCAGAAAATATTATTAACATTATGAAAATTCGGTATAAAAGCCCGTATAAGGTTTTGGTTCAATTCCAGAAGTTAGAAGATGCTTATCAGCTAATAAACTGTAAGAAGATTTTAGATTTGGGTTATCATTGTCGTATTGTGAATGAGACACACTTATCTTTTGGATTTGTAAAAGGAATTGATATAGGAATTGAAGAACAAGAAATTTTAGAAAATTTGACCTCTTCATATAAAATTTCGTCTGTGAAAAGACTCAAACGCTTAGATATAAATGGTAAGTGGACAGACAGCGAAACATTTCGTTTGACATTCAAAAGTGAACAACCGCCTTCATATGTGTATGGATATGGATGCAGATTCAAGGTCGAAATCTATCACTTTCCAGTCACGCAATGTTCTGGATGCTGGAGTTTTGGACATTACGTAAAATTTTGCCCGAATAAAAATATTTTATGTCCTAAGTGTGGAGACAGACATATAAATTGCGAAACTATTGAATACAAATGTGTAAACTGTAAAGGCCCACATATGGCACTTGATAAAGCATGCCCTATTTTTATTAAGGAAAAGAGTATTCGTAACATCATGTGTCAACAACATTTTAGCTACAGAAAAGCACTGGATATTTACAAAACAAACTATGGATAGCCCAACATCTATGAATAAAGTACAAAAGGCTGATAAAGTACCAAGTGCTGATTATACGAAATCATATAGAGATATACTTCTAACAAATAACTACATAAATCAAAACTTGTCAGATACCGAAAGTGGAGAAGAGGATACCAGTAAAAGCAACTTACAAAAACATTAAAAATAAACATATTAAAAAAGTTGCTAATTATAACGTTAAACATTCAAAGCAAAAAAGTCCATTGTTGCTCTGTTGCAACCGAGTCTTTGCTTTATATTAAATAATGAAGAATTGACAAGAATGGAAACTGACGTATGTACAGAAAAACAAGAGGAGAAACAAAAGATATCTAAGATATGAGTAATTATTAAAAGTTTAAAAGAAATTCTGTTCTCCGAAAGCAAAGTAGAAGAAGAGATTCTCGATATTGTTGAGTTAGTAACTGGAGAGTTGAAAATAATCTTTATGAAACTTATAATGGAAAAAGAAATATTAAATAAACTTTTAAATGCAGTTAATGGATAACACATCAAAGGATTTTACGCTGTCTATACTCCAGTGGAATGCACAAAGTATTAAGCCCAAAATAGTTAATTTTGAATCCCTATTGATAGAACAAAAAATACATATAGCAATTGTGGGTGAAACGTGGTTGGCTGAGAGCTCGCCTCTAGGAATAAGTGAATATAACATTTTTAGGAAAGATAGATGCGACTCATACGGTGGTGTGGCTATAATGATACATAAATCAATTAAGACGCATCAATATTCAATAAGTACAAGCAATACTGGTTTAGAAGTAGTTTATGTCAAAATCTTCAATTGTAAGTATCTTGAAAATGTTTTATCTATTTACTGCCCATCTTCTGTTAGAACATCTTCAACTGACTGGAATAACATATTCGCCCTTTGCCCACCCAAATGTGTCATTGGAGGAGATTTTGATTTATTGGACCAACTGGTCTAATAAAATTGACACCAGAGGGGCACAATTATTAGACAGTTCCTTGGATTTCGGTTTCATATCAACAAATAACGGAGAAGCTACCAGAATTAAACTTGTAAATGGTTGTCTTCAAAACTCTTCACCTGATATAACATTTGTGTCTTCTGATATTGCTATATACTTTAATTGGCACATAACTAACGAAAATCTTGGTAGTGATCATTTTATTATTAAATCTTACATTAAATTCAAAGACGTCCTACATTATGTTCGAAAAAGAAAATTCTCATGAGCTGATTGGTCCTCTTATAAAAGAGATCTTGAAGCTTCATATCAAAACACGGTATGGACAGGTGATGATGTACAAAGTATGTATAACCACTTTAAAAAAGAGATTAATAAAGCAGCAAATGAACATATTCCTATAACTAAAATCAATATTGACCCAGAAAAACATTTTAAACCAAAAGTGTATTGGAATCCATCTTTATCAAAAATAGTTGCGCAACATCGGCTAGCCTTAAAAATTTTTAGAAGAAATCCAACACCTTTAAACCTTACTAAGTTACAAGAAAAAGTGGCAGAAAGCCGAAAAATGATTAGAGAAGCTAAATTTAATAATTGGAAAAAATTCTGCAATAGTTTTGATGAAACTACAAATACATCTGTTTTATGGAATAAAATGCGTTGGATAAAGGGACTTAAGTCTAACAAATTCTATCCTACTGAAGAAAAGCTGAAAGATCTATTAAATAATCTTGCTACCGTTTCGGTACTACCTAGAATGCCTGAATTTTCATAGTAAATGAACAATTGGAAGTTAAATTCACTATTCAGGAGTTTGAAAATTGCTTAAAGAAGAAAGATACATGCCCCGGATTCAATGACATTTCTTATTCTATGATTTACAATTTACCTGATGTTACCAAACAGTATTTATTATATTTTTTTAACATAATCTTATCAACGGGATACATACCCATGCAATGGCGAAATATTAAAATTATTCCTATACCTAAGCTAGGCAATAAGGATAAATTAAGGCCTATATCGCTAATGTCCTGTATTTGTAAGATATTTCATGCTCTTATAACGAAAAGATTAGAATGGTACATAGAACACAACAAGATATTATCCCCTTTCACCAGTGGGTTTCGCAGATCTCAATCGTGCTTGGATTGTTTAGTATGCTTAGTAACACATATTCAGCTAAGTTTTTCAAAAAATATACCTACTGTCGCCTGCTTTATTGACATAGAGAACGCTTATAATAATGTCCCAATTGATAAATTTGTTAATGTTCTTGACAGACTTCGGGTTGGTTCAAAATTTTGTTATATTTGGACTTTTTTAACCGAAAGATATCTTGTTATAGAAAGGGAATCACATAAAGGGGAATTTAAAATATAGGCCAGTAAGGGTTTGGCGCAGGGCGATCCTCTATCTCCCTTGTTATTTAACATTATTACACATGAATATGTAGACAAATACAAAATGTATCTATCGCTCAATATGCAGATGATTTTGTAATCTATTCCAGTTCAAAAAATCTTAAGGACTGTGAGTATAACATTCAGAATGCTTTAAACTTTATATTTACTTCACTTAATAAAATTGGCTTAGATATTTCTATTGCCAAGACTAAGCTTATGATTTTTAGTAGAGGTTTTAGACGTCAGGAAATTAAATTAGAACTATATGGAAAGAGAATAGTTGAGACAGACAAAATGCGATATTTGGGTATTTGGTTGGACCGGTTATTAAGATGGTCTAAACGCATTAATGAAATTAGCCAAAATATATTAAAATTTGTAAATATATTAAAAGTATTAACAGGGCATGGTTGGGGTATCCATCCGCAGCATTTACGTAGGTTATACTTATCACTTATAAGAAGCAGAATTGATTTCGGCTGTTTTTTATAAGATATGAGTGCTAATAGAAACATTTGTAAATTAGATAAAATCCGAAATCAAGCACTTCGTATTATAGGGTTTTATCAAAAGTACACCAATACACGTTATAGAAAGTGAATTAAATATAACGCCTCTATATATTACAAGAAAAATTTTTGCATACAAATATTGTCTGAAAGGTAAATCTAGAACTAATAATACTACTATTAAACTATTAACAGAACTCAGCTTATTCTGTCAAGACAGGTACTGGCAAAATAAAAAGAAAACACTTCTAGCAATTACATTAGAACAAGTTAATAATAATAATATGTACTCTTCGGATCCACTAGATATGTTCTTTTTAAATACTTGGTTATCAAGTATCAATGTTAAAAACGTAATTAATCAGGACTTAAATTGTATGAAGGGTGCTAAAAGATGTCAGGAGATAAATACTTTAAAGTCGAATGTAATAAATGAATTAAATGTTAATTATTTCGGATGGCACAAAATTTTCTGTGATGGATCCAAAGATAAATATGGTGTAGGTGCCGCTTATTTTGACTCATTGCTGGGTAATAAAAGTAAAATTAAAATTCCCAATAATTTAACGATAATGTCAGCTGAATTAATTGCTATAAATGATGCCCTATTACATGCTGGTACAACAAATTTTCAAGAAACAGTCATTCTAACTGATAGTAAGAGTGCTCTTGAACATATTGCTCGATGCGTCTCTGGTCTCAGAGGTGTATCGATAGCATATTGGATATTAAATGAAATATTGAAACTTCAATGTAAAAACCCTGAGTTAGTATTGCAGTGGGTACCGTCTCACATCGGTTTACAGGGCAATGAGGAGGCTGATAAGCTGTCGAGATTGGCAATCACCCAAGGAAGAGAATGTAATATTTATCCTGATTATTCAGAAATTTTAATTAAATATAAAGAGAAATGTTATGCAACTTGAAAAGAATATTTTGATAAAAAATCGCAAGAAAAAGGGATTTGGTACAAAACCATCCAGAGTCAGCCTCCGAAAGTGCCTCGGTTTAATCAATGTCTGTTGAATAGAAAATATATATTGTATTAGCAATGCGACTTCGTTCCGGACACATTCCGTGTAACAAGTTTGCTTTCATGACGAAAATGAAACAATCTCCAAATTGCGATACATGCAAAACAATGGAGAATGTACAACTCTTGCTTGCGAAAATGCTTCCAAAAATCATCATGAAAGGAAACTATTAGTTGCCAAAACTGATATCAAAATTTGTAACCTAGGGGAATATCAAAGGATTCTATCTGAACCATTATCTAATGCTGCTCAAATTGTATATAACTTAGTTAATATTTTGTGTAAATAATTTAAGAAATTGTAGTTTGTTATTTAATTATAAGGTACAATGGGACTGACATGTTTAAAATAACCTAAGTCCCTAAATTTAAAAAAAAAGAATTAAAAAAAAAGATGTGTTTTAGCAGCTCACAGTAGACGTCTATAGTGAAGAACGTGGCTAAACTCTAAGAGAATCCTCATCTACAAACTGAAATCTATAAACTGTACTTTGATTTTGCCTGAGCAAGACTTTACTTAGGAAAAAAGATTTTAAGAAATTCGGAATTAGTATAAAATTACGTAAATAAAATACGGATTAATGCTATTTAAAACAAAAAGGCGGTCTTAAACTACCTATTTACTTTTATAAATAATTAGAAGATCATACAAATAACAATTTAAAATTAATACGGTGGCTTTGGTTAATATCCTGAGTTTTTCTTAAGTCATCGATTTGAGTTTTGCTAAGCGCGCACTTAGTACGACTTCGAAGTTAGCTCTGTAAATACCAACATTGTCTTAGTTCGAAAGTAAATTCTGAGCAAAATTAAAATATGGTCTATAGATCGCAGCCTTAGTATTTACCAGATAGCCCTTTGTATATTATTTATTCGCCCTTTATATCTATACGCCAATTAGCCTCAACCATTAGCAACCCGTTAGCATTTTTCTGCAATTTGGACAATATTCTGCAAATAAACAAAAATATTGTGAGGAAGCGGCAGAAAATGTCTTCAAAGACTTTTTTATAGGATAAGGATGACAAGCAAACACACAGTCCACCTGATGGTAAGTGGATGCTGTGGCCCATCGACATCTACATTTAACCTCAATTAAGAATCAAAATGCAGATGCGTTGTCACCCTTGAGGACTAACATGGAATGACTCGATTCTAGTAAAACGGGTCTCCGGTTCTCTACACTCACCATACGAAACACAGCAGCATTAAGTTACCACGTATTTGTAGTCTAGATTTTCAGGCTTTTATAGCAAAGGCATAAATGACCTTCCCCAAAAATGGCATTAATGTGTAAATACTTTCATTGAATTAATATTCTTAGGAAAAAAAGGTGTTTTTGAATTTTTGTACAAAACGGATGTTTCACGCTTTAACTCATGGCACATGTCGATGATATGCAGCAGAGCAAGAGTATCAGACAAACTCCATCGGATCAGTAAGCTGGCATGGCAATGGACCAGCCATATAGCTCTACGAACTGACAACCGATGGGCAAGAGGTAGCTTCGTATTGTCATGAGTAGTGTAGTGTAATGACACTAAATGGAGTGACGGACTGGTCATGTATGAATTCGATGGATGCAGCCGACTAAGAACCGTGTTTTGTGGCATTAATTGGTGACAACCTATACTCAGTAATGGTAACTAGTCCTTGTAAATATGATAATCATGCTGATAAAATATATTGTATAAATTATTTACACGCCAAATAATTAAGGAAAAAAGAATTCAACGTTGAATTTTCGATTGTTTACCTCTAAAATGTACAGCGTAAAGTTTCCTAAAGTAGTACTATCTGTTTCCAAAATTTATGACTTCGCTTCGAATTTCATATTTGACAAACTATTCGCTTATAATCTGTCCCCCCGTTTATTCCGTTTGCTTTGACATATTTAATACTGACAAAGCAAATCAAGTACTCGCTAAGCCGCAGCGAAGTTTCCCAAATGAAAACAAAACAAACTTTAGTATAGGTATTGTTAGTAATTCCATCAATTCTGTTTTATAGTCTAATTTGAAATTATTTGTGGGCAGTGAACTTTTAATTTATATTAATTTTACTAATATTTATCCCACACTTCAGATCTTATTATAGGTAACGGGCCAAATTTTACGCTGGTATTCTGTGAGAGCGTGATCCTTCTCCGGTCGAGCCGACTCATTCCTGCCACAACCATAATATAGCTGCAGCGTGGCTCTACCACGTACAAAATTGTAAACAGAATGTGCATGAGCACACTCGTATAGAAAATGTTGATGTTATTTGTGGAGTACCGTCATGTGATGAAGGTACTCCACAAATAAGATCAACTGTTGTGCAATCGCAACTGTTGTGCATTTAACAACGTAACAAATATCCAGGACCAAAGAGATAAATCTCTAGGTAACTTAAAAAGAGCTGCTCTAAATTTAAAAAAGAGTCCAACTAATTTATTTACCTATTTGTATTGTTATCATGTAAATTTTTTGACAGTAGGTTTAAGGTGCGGCTGGAGTGGATCTTGGGCCACCCTAAAGTCGCGTACGTTATAATAATATAAAGTATAATATGGAAAGAATTGAACTCTTAATTTTAAAAATTCAAAAACTTTAAGTAAAAATTAGTTTTGACTAACATTCTTGGTCAACATATACTTATAATTATTTCCCTAAATTAGGATAGTAATATTACTAGATCGTGCCCGTATCATAGTTATATTCCGGTATATCCCTAGGGATTTGATGCCGTGATGTAGTTATATCACGGCATCAACCATCTTACTACGACATATGTAGGATGTAGATGTATTTTAAAGTTTTACGATATTGAAACTACCTACTCAAAAGGATTGCTGTTTTCATAAAGTTCAATAAAAACTTACCGTTTTGTCTAGCAGCCAGCTGGCGGGAAATATCAGCGGCACGTACGTGATCATGTACACCATGGAAGTCCACGATACTAAGGTGCTCGGTACACTGTAGTAGGTGACCACTATATCTTGAATAATAGTATACTGTGTCCATTGGAGGGAGTTTGAAGCCGAGTACATCACAAAGAAAGTTAACATCACCCATCTAGATTTGTATACTGTGTACCTCGCAACATTCAGATCTTCAGCTAGACCATCCATAACGCTTCCAGCCACGTCCAGTTTTGTAGAAGAATCAGTCTTGCATAACAAAGACGTTGGTTCTGCAGGATTGTCGAGGCCATTTTGTTTATCATCAATCAACACAGACATAATTATTAATTTAGGAACAAGCACAGTCTTAGAAATTTCACCGTCGATTTGGTCCCAATACAATATAAGCTCGGATTTTTCACTTTTAAATAATCAAACCATAAAACTTACGGTAAATACTTTAATAAAATAAATGCAATTTTAATTATAATACAGATAATTTCACAATCACTTATATTACCACATGTTTTCTGCGAGTTCTCGGTCACTCTTGCGTAATAAAACGTGGGTACTTGTTCAATGAATTTCTAAAGTAACTCTCAAATATATATCTGTCTCTTTCTCGCTAATAATAAACTATAATCTTGAGTCTAGATCACAGCACCAACATTACTGTAGATACATCTAATTTATTTACGACACGTGATTTATATATTAATTAAGCAGCCGAGTGGAAAACTATCTGTCATAAACAAACATCGGTTCAGATGATGTGACTTCAGAAGTATGTCGGCTAACAACGCAACTGTAGATAACAAGCGATAATACTGCGAATGGGAGAACTTTAACTACAAATTATTACTTGTATTAATTTAACTTTAAAATTCATGACATTCATTTAATTTCTTATATTTACCCAATTTATCGCGTGTAAGAGAAAACAGAAGGAAACGAAAACTGATGAGTAGCAGCATCTTCTAGTTATGAAAACAATGCGATAGCTAACCCACCCACCAAGCGTGGCAACTATGGCAAATATCCCTCCCTATGAGGTGATCTAACCTCATAGGTTCAGCAGCGGACTTTGATAGACTGTGATGATGATAATGATGTAAAATCATGATTGTCATCACAATTAGTGAAAAGTGAAACAAACACAAGTATTTTTACCAAATATATCGCGTTTAATTCAACTTATTTTAAAACGTTGCTTTTTAGAACCTGAACGTTAGTTAATAATTAAAATAAAGTTAAAACTGAGATGTATAAAGTTTAGAAAAAAAACTTTAAACATCTCAGTTTCCCCGTCACCATAGGTCCGGTCCAACTTGCTGTAAAGCAGGAACATGAACAATGATTTTAAAAAACTTTTTTTATAGAATAAGAATGACAAACGAGCACACAGTACACCGGATGGTAAGTGCTGTGGCCTATAGTCATCTACATTTATCCTCGATTAAGTATCAAAACGAAGACGGGTTGTCACCCCTGAGGACTAAGGAGGAATGCCTAGTTTCCAGTAAAAAAGGGTCTCCGGATCTCTACACTCACCATACGAAACACAGCACTATTTACGCTGGTATTCTGTGATAGCGTGGTCCTTCCCCGGTCGAGTCGACCTATTCGTGCTACAACCATAATATAGCAGCAGCGTAGCTCTACCACGTATACCACGTATAGGTAATATTATTTTGTTCAATTTCGTGTGTACATTAGTTAATTATTTACACTTCCTTTTCTTGGATTTGAACTTGGGTCTCTCCAAAATACAATATGGAGGTTATTATATTTTGGAGAGGCCCAAATTTACTAAAATACGATGATACGAACGATGAGTTCAAACTAATGTTGGAACCAATTCTTATCAAAAGCAACGGAATTAGCAATGTCAATTTATCCATAGTTATGTTCTCCAGACTGAATTTCGGTCACGGCTGTACGCCTCAATGGGGACTGGTCTCCTGCGAAGAATAGGATTATAATGCACGAGTGAACTCGTCTCTCAAACACGGGAGTGAAATGCCATAAACGTCCTGACTTCGGATTGCCACTGAGAATTCCTTTCAAAAACCCAATAACTGGTTTCGGGCTTAGCCGACCCGTGATTCGAACCCGAGATCTTATAATCATCAGTTGTTCTTATAACCACTAGACCAGTTAAGACCAGTAGATCTTAACTGGTCTAGTAGTAGACAGCTAAAAATCATCTTGTCTCCAATATATATACAACACAATATAATGATAATACTATTTTTGCAACGAACGCAAATATTAGCATCCAGGCTTAGCAAACTTTAAAAAGAAATAAATATTTAGCGCGAATTGTTCGCAGGTATTAGCAAAAAGTTCAGCGCTTCGAACCCAATGCAGATTAATGACACCGTTTGTTAACTCATGACTGAACATAAGTACCCGAGCTTCATATTATAACGTCAGCAAAACCATTAAACTTTTAAAAAATATAAAATACAATAGTTTATTATTATTTTTATTTATTTAATTTGTACTCATGTATTTAAAATTATAATTATTAAAAAAAATAAAAATTAAAAATCAAATAATGTAACAAAATACGATGCGACAAATATATTAAAACAATTAATTATTACTAAATACTGTAATGCACATAAACAGCAGTCAAATTAGCTGCTGGACACATGCAGTCTACAACATTGTTGCAGATAGGGACAATTCACTCTGTCACCTATAATTTTAAGAACGCCATTGGGGCTGGCCCTTACCCTACGACCAGCGATGCAGCTCTTTTTTTTGTTTGAGCAAAACGGGAACCTCAGTTTTTGGGGAGCTCCATAGGCCCGTTGCACGTGTAAAGAGATGTACAAAACGCTCCAATATATATATATATATATATATATATATATATATATATATATATATATATATATATATATATATATATATATATATATATATTAGTAGTATAGTTTTAGCGTGAGTGGGTCGGCTCGACCACGCTCTCATAGAATACCAGCGTAAAATAGTAGCTTAAGCTTCGCTACTGCGAGTGCTTCGTATGGTGAGTGTAGAAAACCGGAGACCCTTTTTACTAGAAGCGAGGCATTCCATCTTAGTCCTCACGGGTGACAAAGCATCTACATTTTGATTCGTAATCGAGGATAGAGGTAGATGTCTATGGGCCGCAGCAACCACTTACCATCGGGTGGACTGTGTGCTCGTTTGTCAAACTATCCTATAAAAAAAATTACAGTACGCAAGCAGCGCGGATTCCATCCCTGCCGGTACCAATGAAATTATAAATTGTAATTTTAACTGCCATTTTACCACGTTAACAGTGTTGAAGGAACATATCGTGAGGAATCCTGCATGTTTTGAGGAATAAAATATTTAAGATTATTCCAGTGCACGTTAGCGGAATGATCGCTCTATAACTCTCTTAGAAATGAAAGAAAACGTGTTCGTAGTCGTGAGACGTGTACATATATCTAGTATTTATTCATATTATGAAAATTTGGATTTATAGAGCTTAATATTTCAGATCCATAACTAACCCAATTTTTGTTATTTCACAATCCAGTCTGTCCTAAGGTTGTTTGGAAGTAATTACATTTGGCAATAAGACTGCGTGTAATGCTTCTATTTTATGTACATAAATATGTATTAACGTACGTTAACACTCACACTCATAACCCAGGAAGGTAAATATTACGGACTTTGATGCGGCACGATCCTGACACACCTCTCTCGCTTCATTCACTTCCATATATCATACATACAACTACTCTACTCTTAATCTGGCCGATCTTTAATATATCACCAATTAGGTCGATAAACTTCAATCTGGGGCGACACCTTTAACATAAATTTGCTGTTATTTTTCTTTCATTCATTTTTCCTAAGTGTCCCAAACACGAAAGTATTCCTTTTTTAATTTTAGTCACATCTTACAAACTTTCTATTTTTTCCTCGTGTTCGACAAAGAATTCCATATCTGTGCATCTATCTCATCTTCTAAATGTATTGTTTATATATGTTTATTTCACTGTGTGTAATAGGACTATGTTATTAAATTTAAAAGTTTCTTCTGACCTTACATAACTCCGTAAAATGCGCCTCAATAAAATTACCAGAGTTCGTAAAATGAAACAGCGCGATATTGAGAGTTTAATCTTTCCACTCTATTTACCGATTCTCGGCTCGCTTCTGCCATTTCACACTGATAAAAATTTTCGACTTGGTCTTTTAAAACAACTTTACTGTGTTGAACGTTGAATAATTCGTCACTATTATACCATCATCTTGTTCGTACTTATTTTGAGACAGTACTGACCATAGAATACTGGCTGTCAAACTTATTTTGTACGAGGTACGGCGTCGCCGGGAGCACACATACAAGCAATTACGTCGTATTGTTACTACTACAAACCCGATTCGTGGTATTGACAGACTGAGTAAATTTACATATTTTAGACTTTTGATTAATGTTCAAGATCATCATTAAAAATTGTTTAAATTTTAACACATATTTAAATATAAATAGTGTGCAATTTGGCATTTTCTAAATAATTTGCATGCGAAATTTGGAAACGATTGTAACGTCAAAACACATCTCGTGTTGACAGTTATACGTGTGAATTGACATGTTAGTGACATTTTAGTGGCTACACGGGCTCCACCCACTCCCCCGTTCTATTATGTATGTATTATAGTATTCTATGGTAGTGACAGTGTAGTTGCGCTGTAAGTATATCCACTAGCCCACGTCGTACCGTTGGCGCATTACAGGTAACAGAGAGACACTGAAACGAGACAGGCAACAGCATTTAACTGATAACAACACGAAATAATAAAAAAAACATCGGTAGTCAATCCGCATGCAAAGCCTGCCAACTATAACTAAAATTTACCCTATGAGGCTATTCATGGGAGAGGCCTATGCCCAACGGTAGACTTTTATAGACTATAATGGATGAACGAATGGATGGATATAATAGAAAGACTTTTGTACTATTATTAATATTTGGAACGAAGTAGCTAAAGTTGCAGCAAAAAGCTACATTTTCAGCTGGTCCCAAAAGTTTAATGAAAGACTCACGGCCGCACATGCCCTTTGGAAAATGTTAATATTAATGTTACAGTATTTTATTTTAAGTAAATTCATGAGGTATATTGTTAGTAATATTAGATCCAAAAAATCTAAGCAACGCAGCCCAACATTATACCGAAAATGTAATTTCGTTTAAACGTTATTCTTATCAGCCGTGCCGGCGAAGATTAAACTCCGATCGCACACGTTCAATGAAATTTCAGAAGGGACAGTAGTTTTAAATAACAATACAAAGTAATTCAAGCTCAAAATC